GGTTAAAGCAGCGTGACGAGGCCTGTGTAGGGTGGCAGGCGCAGCAGAGGCGGCGGCGGTGGCGGGGGAGGGCGGGTGGTGTGGACGGGAGGCACGGGCGGGTGAAGCAGGGCGAGGAGGCGCGGCCAGGATGGCGTGCGAAGGCGAAGGCGGGGCGGCGGTCGCGGTCGCGGTCGCGGTCGCGGGGAAGAGCGGTGGGGCGCGCGACGTTTCGAGAGACGCGTTGGAGGTGCTTCCGCCGTACCCGTCCGCGCAGGGCGCGAGCGCGTTGGCGTGAAGCGGATGCGGCGGGTGCGGCGACGGAGGGAAGTCGACGGACGACGATGTCTTCTTCTTCTTCGTCATCGTGTGTGTGTGTGTGTTTCTCTGAACCAGGAAACATGCTATGATCGTTGTGCCCCTCAAAGTTTTAATCCCGAAGCGTGCGTCGTCTGTCTGACCGAATACGGCAACAAAATCAATATTACCTTACCGCCCCGTTTTCTAGTCATTTTTCATGAAATTGCAACTTGTGAAAACAATGTCATCCATGACGGCGTGTCTGTCACAGAAGTGCTGGGCTCGTGATTCTCTCATCAAGTTTGCACAGCTCTGAAAGCCCACTTCTCTACAATTTTGCTATATCAGGCGGATAGGCTATGGGGTTCACGCTTTCATCATACAGGCAGCGCAGACTGATTGTCTTATTGGAACACATTTATTGGTACAGCACCGCAGAACTGTAGTTCTGGACATGATCTTCACCTCTGTTCTCGACCTGAACATCCATATGTATTCTTGAAGTTTAAGTGGAAATAGAGTATTTCCCGTGTGACGTTTATAATAGCATCTTGGTGGAGAGGAAGAATACACCCTAGACGAGACAACAAGTGCACCGGGTAGAAAGGCTGGTGTTTTCCACATTGGTGTATGCGGGAGCTGGGGAGAGATTTTATCTTCGAGAATGGACATGGATGAAGAGGGCCATGCATAGATAACGCTGATAGGAAGAAAAGGCGTAAAACGTCGCAAAACATTGGTGCATATGAATGGGACACAGTGCTTTAGACTTTGGAGAAAAGCCCTTTTTATAACTGTGTTCCGTTTTCCCGCCAGGGTCTCTGTTCATAGACACGGACAGTGCGAATACGCATGGATGCAGAATATAAATGAATTCTGTATTGATTTAGAATGGGTGGGCATTGAAGGAAGACGATTTACAATTCGAAAGTGTTTGCGGGAAGTTGAGGAATACAATTACAAGCCACCCTGAACACAGTGAACTAAGATCAGTGGCGTTACCGGTGAGGCACGTCACCAGAAGTGTTTTTCACGTGAGGATGCATGTTCAGGAGATGCAGCCGGAGACTGTGCCGTTCGACGGGGCAGGATTCTCATGAAGTTCGGTTGTCCATTCATAAAAGGACATCGCAGTAGACGATGTTGTCTCTGGGGCGGGAATCCGTGTGAGCTTCTTTTAAACACAGCATTGTACAGTTGTAGGCAAAGGTAGGGAGGGTGAAGATATTTGAGCCCACAGCGTTTGTACAGTATGGGCCTTCATAGTTGGTGGTGTCAACCGCGGAGTAGTGCGGCGAGCTCTTCACGCAATCTGAGGGTGCCATGATGTAGTTTCAAATTACAGTAGTTACACTCACAGCATGTAACCCTACACAACGTGAATGATGATTGGTTAGCCGAAACGACGTTTGTAAGTATGAGAGGAATCGGACCATTGCGTAACCGGTTCGGTTATCTGCTGCAATCTTGCATTTCAATTGGGAGGAAGGACACCTGGCGGAGATCGATTGGATATATCAATAGAGGGATTTGTTGCAAATGGCGCATCGAGACTGCGCCGTGGCCGCACAAGCAAGCAATGCCACAGAGACCAAGTCGCATGGGTGGATGGCATCCACTGGATGCGTGCCACTGCCTTGAGTCCACAGTGACCGCCGATCCGACGTTGTCTGGTCCCTTGTCCCCATTCATCTGCTCCTGTACCTTGTACCTCCCTGTTCTGCATCAGGTCTCGTTGAACGGCTGCTTTTTCCACTGTCGCATCCGTCGGGCTCTTACTACTTAGTTCTCATGTATTTCCGTTGTCTCTCGAACGGTTAACAACACCTCCGCCCCTCCCTCCTGCACCGTCCCCCCGCTCCACTTTGTCGTCCCCCCTCTCCGTCCTACCCCTGCGTCTCAATCGCGGACCGCAATTGCTGACAACCGAGTCATGGCGGACGATGTCACGGCCCAGCCGGCCTCTCCCGCTCTCAAACCTGATAAGGGTAACCCAGATGTGGACGGCGAGCGCCGACCATGTCCGGAAGCCAGCGCAAATTGGATTTCCCATATCTTCTTAGGGTGGGTCTTCTCCCTCGTCTACAACGGATGGAAGAAGCCTTTGCTAGACGACTATCTCTGGGAGCTTCGCGATTTCGAACGCGGCAGCGCAACCACCACCGCTCTCACCAAAAATTGGCACAACGTCTTAGACGAAGAAAAACCAAAAAACAGACTCTTCTCCGCTATCTTTCGCACTAATAGACGCAAATTGTTCATCTCGGCAATCTTCAAAGCCATTGAGCTCTCACTTGCCACCTTACAGCCTGTCCTCATCAACAAACTCTTGGTCTTCAATGAGAGTGATGAACCCATCGGCGTGGGCCTTGCATGGGCCTTCGCCCTCCTCCTCACCCCTGTCATTCGAACTATTTTCGAAAACCACTACTTTATGAAAGTCATGCGTACCGGTATGCGCGTTCGCTCTAGTTTGCAAGGGACGATCTATGAAAAGAGTCTCCATATAAGTCCGTCAGCGAGGGCTAATTCTTCCCTTGGCGAAATTGTCAACCTTATGCAGCTTGATACTCAGAGGATTGGAGACTTCTTTCAGTTTTCCAATCAGCTGTGGGCCTCACCCGTGCAGATCATTGTGACCGTTGCACTACTGTACAACTTCATTGGCGTCTCGGCTGTGATCGGTTTGGTCGTTACCATGGCGACGCTACCGGCACAGTCCATGCTCATGTCAGCTATGATAAAGTTGAGAAAAGAAAGTCTCGGCATTACTGACCGCCGTGTCAAGCTAATGAATGAGATTCTACAAGGTATCAAGGCCGTCAAGTTTTACGCATGGGAAGAACCGTTTTCTGTCGCGGTGGAGGACGAGCGGAAACAGGAGCTAAAGAAACTTTCCGGAACAATTTGGCTCCGCTCTACCTTTATGGCAATTATGATGGCTATTCCGAGTATTATTGCAGTTATCACCTTTGCTTTCTTCAATGGTGTCTTCGGCGAAGAGTTGAATCCAGCCCGTATCTTTACCGGTCTAGCACTGCTCAACCAGCTACGGCTTCCAGTCATGATGCTTCCGATGACTATTAACAGCTTGATTGACGCACGAATTGGAGTAAAGCGTATTGAGCGGTTCTTGGACCTGGAAAACACTGAAAATTACTCACGTGAAGATCCTCAAAAGAAAGACACTGCTCTAGATGAGCGTCGCGAAGACGTTGACAGCGCCTCTAGTTCTGACTCCTCGGAATCCCGTCCTGGATCTATCCGAATCAAAAACGGGGAATTTGAGTGGGGTGAAATGCAATCCGAACCGAGCGCCACTGAAAAGAAGGGCTGGTTGAGTAAGTGCATTCCTGGCCTTGCCAAGAAGAAGGGGGTACCTGAAACGACGGAACAGCGGGTTGAATCTCAGCCAACTGCGGCTCTGTCGAACGAAAAAAATACATCCAGGCGCGGGGCTGTTCTTCGCAACATTAGCGTGAGTGCCAAAGGCGGAGAACTGGTCGCCGTGGTTGGTCGTGTTGGCTCAGGAAAGTCATCCCTCGTTCATGCGATATTAGGCGAGATGCTCAAGGTGGAAGGTGATGTCCAAGTAGACGGCAAGATCGCCTATGTGGCACAAACTGCTTGGATTTTCAATGAAACCCTCCGAAATAACATTCTCTTCGGCAAAGAATTCGATGAGGCACAGTATCGTAGAGCTGTAACTGTGTCAGCTCTTCAGCAAGATATTGATGCTCTTCCAGGTGGGGACATGACTGCGATTGGGGAGAAGGGGATTAACCTTTCGGGAGGTCAGAAGCAGCGAGTCAGCATTGCGAGGGCTGTCTACGCCGACACCGATGTGTACCTCTTCGACGATCCGTTGTCAGCTCTCGATGCCCATGTCGGTCAAGAGGTTTTCAAGCAATGCATTTCGAAAGCAGGTGCACTGGGCCATCGGCTGAGAATTCTCATTACCAACCAGGTGCAGGTGTTGCCTGAATGTGATAAGGTGATCTTTCTAGAAGATGGGGAAATACGAGCACAGGGGACTTTTGCAGAGCTCGCGTCGTCCAACGCATCCTTCCAGCAACTAATCGATGAACAGGAGAAAGGTGACAACTCAAAGAACAAGGATGCTCCGCCATCGGAGTCTCAGTCGGACACAAATGAGATGTCCGTCGGTGCGAATTCGGTATCGCAGTCAGCCGTGGTATCGAAAGACCAGGGGAACGATGATGGAAGCAAGGACGAAAAAGCGGGGACAACACTGATGCAGTCGGAAGAGCGAAAGACTGGCAACGTAGTCACCGGGGCGTACTACCAGTACGCACGTGCTTGCGGAGGAGTCCTGCATTTCATTTTGCTTCTTGTCTTTTGGTGTGTTACGGTGGCAATGTCAGTGATTGTCAATTGGTGGTTGGTCTACTGGGCAGATGAAACCGCCGCTGGAACTGAGCGCCCCTTGGTTTTTTTCCTGGGTATCTACTTCGCGCTTGCATTCGGGTATGCTATTCTTGTATTGATTCGTGGGATTTGGTTCTTGTCTCTTGCTCTTGTGGCGTCGCGCAAGTTACAATCGAGCATGTTACAATCTGTGCTTCATGCACCGATGGCTTTCTTCGACACCACACCGATCGGCCGAATTATTTCCCGCTTTTCTCGAGATGTCAGTGTTCTCGACGAATTGCTCCCGCAGTTTTTCCAGCAGATGCTGTCAACTGTCCTTAACCTTATCGCATCTTACGTGTTCATTGGTACTATTCTTCCTATCTTTTTTGCTGCGGCAATTCCTATAACGATCTTGTACTTCGCCTTGCAGAGGTTTTTCAACCGCACTTCGGTTGAGTTGAAGCGATTAGACGCAATCTCAAAGTCTCCCATTTACGCACACTTCTCAGAGACTCTTGGCGGTCTGAGCACGCTTCGGGCGTATGGGAAGCAGGACAAATCACGTGCAGAGAACATGAAAATGATCGATATCAATCAACGTGCATACTTCGCATGGCTTGCAGCCAACCGGTGGTTTTCTCTGTATCTCGAATTTGCAGGGTCTCTCTTGATCTTTGCGACAGCCGTTTTTAGTGTGACGGCTCCTGACAGCGTTTCGAGTGGGAACATTGGTCTAAGCCTGACGTACGCTCTTCAGGTAACAGGCATTCTTGGTTTTACGGTTCGATCGATTACTGAACTTGAAGGCCAAATGAGCTCTGTAGAACGTGCCAACTACTACAGCCACGACCTACCACAAGAGGCACCAGCGAAGCTTGATCCGAAGGACGGAGGAGGTGTTTCTGCTGATTGGCCGACACGTGGTGAGATATGCATTAAGGATGTTGAACTCCGTTACAGGGAAGGCCTAGAATTAGTGTTGAAGGGTGTGAATGTCACGGTTGGAGGAGGTCAGAAAGTAGGCGTTGTCGGAAGGACGGGCTCCGGCAAAAGCTCGCTTATGATGGCTCTGTTGCGCATGGTAGAACTGGCCAACGGTTCAATATCTGTCGATGGCGTCAACCTTCGCAGCCTCGGGCTATCTGACCTCCGAAAGAGGATCACAATCATTCCACAAGATCCGGTAATCTTTAGCGGAACGATTCGTTTTAATCTCGACCCGTTCAGCCAGCACTCAGACGCCGAGCTTTGGGACGCTCTCGAAAAGTCCCACATGCGAGAATTTGTGGAGGCTTTCGATGACGGACTTGACGCAAAGGTGTCTGAGTATGGAGAGAACTTGTCAGCCGGCCAACGTCAAGTCATCTGTTTGACGCGAGCGTTACTGAGAAATTCGAAGATTCTCATCCTCGATGAGGCTAGTAGTTCGCTCGACATGGAGACAGACCGCCTGATCCAGGAAACTATTCGAACGCATCTGAAAGACGCAACGATTCTCACTATCGCGCACAGGTTGTCCACCCTTGCTGATTACGACAAAATTATATTAATGGAAAATGGAATGGTAGCTGAGTTTGGCAGTCCCGCGGGATTGCTTGAGGACTCGAGAGGCAAGTTCACAGCTCTTGTCAACGCTCTGGGACCCGCGGGAAGTAACAGGTTTAGAGAACAGGTCGCATCAGGAGGCCAAAGACGATAGTGGTGTTCGTATCCATTGCACAGTGTTGAGGGCAACTTCTCTTCTGTACATATTCGCAGTAAAAATGGTTTTCTACCGAGCTCAGTGGTTTAGGGAGGAGGCTAATCGCAGCCGAAGTAATGCCGTGCACGGCTACAGGTACATCTGACAAAAAAAGCATCTCTTTGAGTTTGAATCTGCTGGCTGGCGCTATACTGTACAATTTGTGTGGCAAATACTACCTACCTTGAGCAAGACTTGACCAGTTCCCTCCGTCACGGGGTGATCTACAGTCGCATCTGCATCCGGAACTTGGTGTGAATATCGTGCAAGAACTTTGGGCAGACCGTCTCAACATCTGCGCCAACACCCCATGAATCTACCTGAGCCCCCCCGCGCGCGTGGTTTGTCTCCTCGAGCGATTTCTGGTGCGTAGCGCAATGGCGCCATCCGTGTGCGGCTCTGTAAGGGCTCGCGCCAAACTGTCGAAGGTGAAGCAATCCGGGTCAATGTCAACCGTGGCCAAGGCGTCTGCTGCGTCGAAAGTTTCAGCGTCGTCAAAGTGGTCGACCCTTGGCATCTCCTCATCGCCCTCGCTCTCCAGCATTTCGATGTCGAGGTCGACCGGGCTTGGTGGGTCTGGCGGCACATCCAGTCGGACGGCGACGGGAGCGGGGCGCGTGTAGCGCGCAATGGCGGGGCGCCTGGCGGTGGGGGACTCGGCCTGCTTCCTCCTTCGGCGCATCTCCAAGCGGGACTCTCGCTCGACGCGCCACTTGTGGACGTTGTCGACGGCCTTTGCGTGCGCGGGCCACTCCTTGCACTCGGAGGCCAGGATGTCGCAGACGTAGCAGAAACAGCGCGCGCAGTAGCGCTCCTTCTTCGCGGCGCGCTGGCGCTTGAAGGCTTCGACGACACACTGGAAGCGGAAGTGCGGGTAATCGACGAGGGCGCGCACGCCGACGCGCGTGCCAACGCACTCGACGTCGGTGGGGTTGGTGGGCCTCTTGGACGGGGTTTTGTTGGGCGTTTGGGTGGGGGTTGGGTCCGCCTGCGAGAGGTCGTAGGTCTCCGAGGCGCCGCGGACGACGTGCGAGACTATTTGCAGCTCGCCGTCGGAGGGGGAGGAGGCGATGTCTGGGACGGGGAGGGAAACGCGAGGGCGCTTGCGCACAGGCGTTGGGGGTGGGGAGGAGTCAGAGGAGACGAGGTCGATTACGTCGTCGGTCATTGTGGACGTAAGGAGAGAGTCGGAGGGCGGATGAGGGCGGAGGTAGCAAGTGGGGGGTGTCAGAGTCGGAAGAGGGCGGGGTTGTCGACGCAGACGAAAAACGAAATAGTGAGCTGTACTGTACACGTGTACGTTGAGGCAGACATTGCGGCCTCTTTGTGATGCGCTTCACGTGTATGACGTAAGGAATGAGAAACTCAAAGCGTCCGTATACTCGACATCATTTCCGTCTCCTCGGCATCTCTTCGCCTTCCGACAATGACCGCTCCCTTCGCCCTCGCCGACACGGCCTACCTCACAATAATCAAACACCTCGCCAAGTATCTGCACGCCATCAGCGGCCTGCTACTCGGCCCGCCGACCTCCCCCGTGCGCATCACCTGCGCCCTCCCCGTCGCCCATTCCTCGCTCGCCATCGCCACGACCCCTTTAACCGAGACTGCCCTTCTTCTCGCAGAGCGCCGCGCCGCGCAGCTCAATCTCCGCGTCGTCGGCGCATACTTCGGAAACGACCTCGCCGAGGACACAAGCATCGGTGTCTTTCCCACCCGATTGGCAGACGCCGTCCGTGCGCATTTTGAGGGCGCGTGCTTGCTCATGATTCACCCGCCGAGTTTGCATCCAGATGTCAGGAAAGGCGAACACTGCTTTCGCGTTTGCGCCATACCCGAGGGGGAGACCGGGACCTGGGCAAAGGCTACCAAGCCCAAGGAGAGCCTGCACGTTTCGCAGGAGGCCTTGAAAGGGGCAGATCTCCTTCTAAGCGGCGACGCGTCTGTGCATGAAGTAGTCGATTTCGAGGATCACTGCCTCGATCCGAAAACCGATTGGCTCAGTCACCACATCCACATCGATTCCACCGGTGGCGAGCGCTGCGCTTCGTGACACCAAATAGGGAATCCGATGCCGCTTGTAGGAGTGGGGTTGCCTGCCTAGGTCTAGCTGCTCATGTTGCCCGACAGCGCTTCCACTGCGTCGAGCGTCGCCGTCAGAATCGCCCGCTGCCCACTCACATACACGTTGCACGAGGACAGGAATGAGTCCCCCTCGCCCCTCTGTCCGTCTTCTTCCACAATCCTCTCAAACCCATTCATCATTGACTTGACGAGCCTCCGTAGTTCATTCAGCATGGCGCTTTCGTTCCTGGCGCTGATGGGCTTTCCGAAATCCGCCGTGCTAACAGAGAGCGATGTCGTCTCGCTGCTGTCCAGTAACAAAAGTCGTGTCGAAGCCACCAGACCATTTGGTAGGGGATCTTTGATCGTGAGCTTGTGATCCACGTCCAAATCCATGGGGCGGAGATTGAGGAAGAGCATTTTTAACGTAAACAGCTGTGACTGGTCCTCTTCCGGAATGGATAGTGAGAGTAGAACAGAATCGGCGGGGTTAGACGGCATAGCAAAGCCGTAGTGAAGGAGCAGTTGCCAGTTGGGCAATGCGCCGTATGAAATGCATATTTCTTCCCCTTGCCGAACTAGCCGGTCACCGACGTGAAGCTCTAAGCCGAGGTCCGATACGTTTCGGTCCACCACAGACTCCGGAGAGTCGACGGCGATCCACCCGCGAGCTTTTGCGTTTCGACATTCAGATTCGACTGGCTGGTGATTCGCCATGTCGGCGAACGGAGCTAGCATAGTTACGGACTCGATTTTGAACGCCCGGCTTTCGATGACAGCATGTGCGCGCATAAAAGTTTCAAATGTGCAAAAATCCGCCGGATAGGTTTCGGGTAGGCGATTGACGGCGTAAGGAAGAAACCACTCCTTGTACATTTCGTCTATCTCTCCTCGTAGTGTATGTACGAGAGGCAGAACCGTCGTTCCTGAAAGTAAGTCGGTAACATCTTCCAAATCTATGCAAAGCGGCGTCGTAAAACGCGTTGGAAGTGAATCGAACCAAACTTTCCACCCGCTCGCGTCTCGCTTTGCAAGCTCCGCCAGAAGAAATAGTAAAATCGCAGCAGCATCGCTAAGGGCATCCGGTAGACGTTCGTGGACTTGATCTGCTTCAACGGCAGACAATACTGTTTCAACATGAGGTGCTCGACGTGCTGATATTGATGTAATCAACATAGATGGTGGTATACGAACAATTGGAGACCCAGGCTGTATGTCGCTGGTAGCATACAGGCCTCTTTGGCCAGGGATGGATTCTTTAACCTCCACATTCGCAATGTAGGCCCCGCGCTGCAATAATGATGCCCGCAATGCATTAATTGCTGACGCGCATGGCGCCTGGCCCTGCCTTGACACAACCATGTTATGGGAATCAGTTAAGTTCAGTTGCTGTGCAAAGTCAGATGAAGGGTGTGGACGACTTGCGTAGCAGGTCACGATAGGGATGAGGGAGCTTGACGATTCTTGGGATGCCCTAAAAATAGCAAACTTGTATCCTTGCCAACTATGAACACGTACTGTACATGTATTTTTCCGATTGCGGTAATTTTTATACGTACAGTATTTGTTCTGTGCTCTCTCGAACCGAAATCTTTTCATCCGTCACCGTTTGTGTTCCAGCTCTTCGTCAGACGACGTAAACTTTTCCTTCGCTCCGCCTCCCCGTGATCAACTCGATCAACTGGACGTCTTCCCGTGGAGTACCAGAAATGGCATCCTCTTCAGGAGACAATGCCGTGGAAGTTCCGCCGGCGATTTTCCAAGAACTTTTGTCCTTATCCACATCACAACCGCGCACGAACGCGTTTGTCTTGTATGTTCAAAGGGCCGCTACCGAAAAGAATGCGCACGTTTTGAAAGCAGCTGCGTCGTTCTTATATGGCGCATGCATGCCACTGTCTCACGCTCGCGTTGTGCTAATCGAGTATTGCGATGCGTTGCTTACCCTTCAGGAGCCCCCCTTTATGGAGATCGCTCAACACCTCTTCCGTCTTCACGCATTACCGAATAATTCTAGAACACTCGCGTTTGAGCAAACGCTCAGCTCAGTGAGAGCGAAGGTCGCAACTGAGTATGAGTCGCGGGGAGAGTACGAAAGGGCAGCCGAAGAGCTCACATATGTGCCGTTTGACAATGCAGCGGTCCCTAATATTGGAGTGGTACGTCACAACTTGCGAATTGCTCGTCTATTTATCTCGGCGGGGCTGACGGAGAAAGCAGAGCTCTACATAAATCGCGCCAGTGCTCGACTCCCGCATTTCACAGAAGATGACATCCGTCTCCAGTACCTCTTTTGCCAAGCCCGTGTGTTGGACTCGAAAAGGAAATTTGATGATGCGGCCATGAAATACTACCAACTCTCTCAGCACCCAAATGGCGGCGGCTTGATGGACTCTATGACCGACGGGGATTTTGGTCATTCGCTAGTTCACGCCGTGACATGCGCTATTCTCGCCCCTGCAGGCCCGCGCCGATCTCGCGTCTTGGCCATACTGTACAATGATGAGCGATCAAGAAGCCTTGACGTCTTTCCGCTTTTGCAGTCGATACACATGGGACGTCTCCTACAGACCTCTCAAATTGAGAAGTTCCGTCCTACTCTGTTACCGCATCAGCTGACCACACATAGTGATGGTGACACCGTCTTAGATCGGGCAGTCATGGAACACAACCTCTCAGCTGCTTCAAGGTTGTACGCTAACATTCATTTCTCAGAGCTTGGCACGTTACTCGGCATTTCGGCGGCAAAAGCAGAGACAACGGCAGCAAGAATGATCTACGAGAAGCGCATGACGGCGACAATAGACCAAGTGCAAGGAATTTTGCAGTTTTCGACCCACTCTCCAACACAAAAAATTGAGAGGTGGGACGCCCACATCGCAAGTTTATGTGGTGCCGTCGACTACTGCGTTGAGGCTATTGTTAAGAAGCATCCCCAGTTTGCAACGCATTTGGAGCCATGATGGCAGGCACCCAAGTTCGGGGGGTAGCATGTTCAACTCATTCCTGCCACGGCGTCACCTGTGTTTTATCCAAGGTTGTACAGCACAGCATCCGACTTTGTCATGTTTGTCTCATCCCTTCGAAGCAAGCCAAAAACGCTTCGCTCTCCACTTGGAATCTGATTATGTAAGGATCCTCTACAGTGTACTGTAGTCGCGAATCATTCTAATATGACGACTACATATGTTTCAGAAACTTATATAGACGTTTGATTTACAACTTTTTACATGAAAGTGGCTTCGTAAACCGCTCGCCAAGACTTTCAGGTGCAAGGATGACGCCATACCTGGATGAAAGCACGCAAGAAAAGCTCCTTGGTTCTGCAAAACAGCTGGAAATCGCGCTTTGAACTAGGTGGCGCTCTGTTTGGCTTTCGCTTCGGCCTTCTCATTCCTGATCATTTCCTCTGCCGACCGGATGTCATCGGCTCTCCTTGAAATCTGCTCTCTCGCAACTTCTAACAACAATTCCGCATGTTGCACAACCCAGGCCACATCAGGGGTTTTGTTAAAATCACTAGCGTTCTTCACGAGTAGCTCCATGTCCCCGATGAATTCCGCAGCAGAGCGATACGCCACTCGCTTGCATTTTTGCTTGATCAAGTTTAGGTACATCGGCTTCTTAATAATTTGCTTGTACGTTGGCACAAGCTTTGTGTCAACGGGTGCAGTAAAGTCAAGGCCCGTGTTTTTAGGCGCAGCCAAGTTATTGGCGATAGCTCCCGGAGGAGGGGACTCACCATCCTTCAGGCGCGCAATCTTAAGGAATGGCGTTTGACTTGCGACATAGCCTTCCGTCTCGCGGATATTCTTTTCAACTTTCTCAAGAATATTGTTCAGCTGCACAGTCCCGTTCCGTTTCCGACGAGAAGTCTTGGCCGTTTTCTTTGCCCGATATTCCACGTCGTCTCCATACTGGGATCGCTTTCTCTTCAATGAAGCTTCTTCCTTGTCCTTGCGAAGCTGTTTTGTGCTGATCTTAATCTTACCAATCATCCCCTTCTCGGGTCCCCTTCCTTCTTCACCAGGATCAGCCGAACCACTTGGCTTCGACGGATTTTTCTTTTTTTTCTTCTCAGGTCGGTTAGAACTTTTCTTTTTGGAAATTCCTTTCGATCCTTGCTGCAGCATTTTCAGGTCTATAGCCACTTTAGCTTTCCCACTGGACATTCCTGGGCGGTCCCCCGTCTTTTTCTTAACGTTCTTCTTTTTCAGCAGCATCTGCGCTATCTCCACGGGGTCGGTTATTATATCCTGGACATACGAAACGGTTCCATCTTCGGCAACCTCTTTGCGTGTGACTTTCAGCCGTCTGATTTTCTTTTTCACCTTTTTTTGCTCCTCGTCTGGCCCTCTCTCGTCTGTTGAAGGCTTTGCCGAAAAAGAACCTATTCCTTTCCTTTGGTCAGGCTTGTCTCCCCGATCGACAACCGAGTGTGGGATTGAGGGTTTTGGTGGCGCAACCTTGCGCGGCGGTTTGGGAGGCTTCTTCGCGTTCTTCTTAGCGAGCAAACCTTTCACATCTTTTTCTTTCGAGACGGGTCGCTTTCCAAAAGCGTCTTCGCCAGTGGCAGCAAGAGCGGCTGCCATGTCTGGGTCTCCTGCAAAGTCTTGATCTTCAGTTGGAAGCTCGGAAACGTCTCCATCTTCTAAAGCTTGGCGCTGTTTGTCTAAAGGAAGCGCCAGGAAAATTCCTGTTGTAGTGGACATCCCTTGCGGAACGTTTGCGGCACTCTTTCCCAACCCAGCAACGCGGTGCTTCTTCATAACGTTCCGAATGAGCTTAGCATAGTCGGACATATCATGAGAATTGCCCTTTCCTTTTCGCTGCGCCATTTCTCGAACCATCGCTCTCCTTTCTTCCACGTCAGCAGGGATTTTCTTCGAGTTCAATCGAAATTGATTCGTTAAGACGTTGTTCATTTCTGCTCCGGTTAGTGACATAAGCCTTGACTCCATAACCGTTCCTCCGTCTTGGAGCTCATTTACAATTCTTGCGAGGGAGAGTACCTGCAAGAGTTCCTTTCTCTGCTGCTTTTGGGCTGATGTAATATTCTGAGACTTAAACCATGGAGACTTCAACAAACGGCTTTTGATAAATGCTGCCACAGCTGGGCCTGCTTCAAGCCCAGATCTTTCAGCGGCTGCGATGATGTTTCCTTGGTTGGAAGGATGCGTAAAAATCTGAATCCCAGTATTCGAAAGACTCTCCCAACCAGCTTCCATAGCTTCAAATGCAGCTGTTTCTTGAGGATTCACAGTTCGTAGCACTTCAGCCTCTCTCTTCGCAAGACTTTTCGCCGGCTCATCTTCAATAACGTATTTCCCATTTTGATACCGTGCAAACTCTCTGATAACTTTATACAGCCAAGCCTCAGGATGTGTTCGACAGTCTCTAAACTCTTGTACAATCGCATCCTTCTCAATGTAGGGCTTCTCCGACGGTACTGAATTCTCGTCGTCCCTCCCTCGTCTTTCCGACCTGTGCTGCCTCGCGATTTCCTTTTTCTTCTTCATAAACTCTCTGAGCGCCCATAACAGAGCCCGCTCCCTTCCATATCTTTTACAACGCTCACCATTTGGTGCCATCACATCAACTTTTGGCTCTGTGACCCCTAGGGCGACAACCGAATCTATCTCCCGAACATACATCTTGCCACCGTTTCGCACGAGCAAAAAGTCTGTTGTTTTGGCAGTTTGGCGAACACATGCGGCAGCGAAGACGTGAGACTCAACCACAGACAAAGGTTTACCGTTCGCTTCCAAATCCCCGGCATGCAGAGGAGGGGGTTCGTCCGGAGCCATGAAGACTGTATCAGCTTCCGGAGTCCCAGCTGCGTTTTTTGACGCTTGAGCAGCAGCTGCGGCAGAATCCTTTCGAGCATATGTGACGATGCGAGACGCCATGCCTGGTATAGGAAGTATGCATGGAAGCCTTTCCAGAGCGTATTCATAGAGAGACACCCGATAGGCATCTTTTTCGGAACAATAGAGCTCAGACTTCTTCTTCGGTTTTTGTCCTGCAATTTGAGCGTGCCCTCCTTTCGGACGTCTTCGGCGAAATGGTGTTATCACAGTGTCTCGGGGTAATCTGTCTGCAGTCAATACCGGCCGGCGAAAAGACAACAGTTCGGCGTCAGTGTAAACCGTCTTCGTTGTCAAAGACTTCACGGCTGGGGGAGCATTCTCTAATCCGCGCAGGCTAGAGCGGAGATCAACTTTCAAGAAATTAGAGGTCCCACTTGCGTAGTAGGTATCATTCGAAATATTGAAGCGATCAGATTCGAGAAGTTTGGCGACTTGAGTGCCAGACGAATTTATCAACTCGTTCATTTTGGCTTTTGTTAGCTGTGCGTGAACAACGTCCGTTGGTTTGGATGATTGCAAGCCTCTTTCAGTTGATGCAGTGGATGGATAGTCGAATACCATGTTGGGGTCATTCGGGTCTAGGATAAGACGACTGAATCTCGCCAAGGTCGAAAACTTCCCGTTTCGACCTGAAAAGGGATTAAACCCATTTTCTTTCTCCTCTTCGCTGTGTGAATCCCACAAGACATCGTCCAACCAACTTCCTCTCTCCAATTCTTTGTTCGGCGCAAGAACAAGATTTTCGATTTCTGGTTTTACATGTCTCACTGCAACAGTTCCGATTTTTCCAGCATCCTTATCAGATGTTTCTTTTTCTAGTGGCGCGTCTTTTACAGGTGCAGTGGGCGCTTTAACTTTCTTCAGAGGTGCGATGCCATTTGTTTTTGGCGTAGTCGGCGGCTGCTGTTGAGGGATAGTATTGGATTTTGACTTCACATCCTTCTCTTTATTGGCTGACGCTTGCCCGTCTTCCCATTCCATGTCGTCCTCGGAGTCGGAGTCCTTTCTTTTGTCTTTCTCTTCCTCCTTAGCTGTTTCGTCAACATTCATGAATACGGGGTCTTCGAACTCGTCTTCATCATCATCATCGTCGTCTTCTTCTTGCTTTGCATTATCAGCTGAAAGATTTACGCTGCCATTTTTGACGTCGTTCGCGCTCGCGTCGTTCGCTGCCGCTAAATACCACTCATCGTCGTTATCGTCAGAATCATCGCCATCCTGCCACTGTATCTCCTTTTCCCAATCCATTTGCTGAACAAGAGGTAAATCGGACTTGACGTCGTCGATATCTGGCACCACGTCCATGCTGTCGTTAGTTACATCTGAGGCCTCTAAAGGTTCAGCGGCGCCCTCGTAGGTGTCGGAATCCACATCACCGTCTTCGTCTTTCCAGAGTCGCAACTTGGGCCTGCTGTCCACTTGTCCCATCAATTGGCTCCTCTTAGCAGCATTCTCGGCATCCAACGCAATAACAATGCCGGCAGGGTCCGCATCATCCGGCGGATGCTCCTCATCTAGGGCGTCCGCGTCATCGTTTTCCACAGGGGGTTCATGGTTCTGAGTGTGCGGCACAAGTCCAAAGCGGCGGCGGCGCGGCACATAACGCAAAACCGGAGCCGGCCTCATGAAGAGCTTTGTGAAATGGACAGGGTTTAGCTCCTCCCCGTCTTCTGCCAGCTCGACCGCGGGTACAGGCGCGGCGGAGGCCTTCGCGGCTGTCACGCGAGCCTGTTCCATGAGGCGGCGCTGCTCCGCAGCTAGCTTGTCATCTGCCTGTGAGGCAGGAGACGCGGCAGGCTTCGCCTCGGCGCTGAGGGCTAGCGGCTTGGAAGGCTGTGCTTTGACGGAAAGGGACGATGTTCCAACAGGTTTGGACGCGGACACAGACTTGGGTGCCTGCTCGTCGTCATCGTCGTAATTCTCGTCGTCATCGTCATTCGCTGATGCACCTGCCGCCGGTTGGGTTGCTTTCCGCAAGGCGAGCGCGGCCATGTCTTTACGCTGTTCCTCATCGAGCTCATCTTCAATGAGGTCGTCCTCGTCAAAGTAGTCAACGCGCTGCGCTGCACCTGGCGTTGGCTTGGGCGGATCGTCATCGTAGTCCTCATCATCGCTATAGTCCGAGCGCTTCTGCTGCGGGAGTGCCTCTGTAATCTCGCGCAAGTCGCGGTCCTTGTCGACGACCTTGGATCCGACGTTGTCGATAGTATCCTTGGCGTCATCGTCCATGTAGTCCTCATCGAGGCGGCCGCGGCGGTCGATGTTACCGAAGAGGAAACCTGTACCGCCGGCAGTGCCCTCGCGGTTGGCCATGGTGCGGTGGCGCGTCCGGGGGACGCTGCGCGGGCGCGGCGCCTTCTAATGATGCGGACGCGCCAGACGCAGCAGCGAGAGGAGGGTGATCTCTGCCGGGGCGGGGTAGGGGGTGGGGACACATAGAGGTGTACCGGTGCCAGACAGGGTTCGGGCAGGTGGGCTGCGCTTCGCTGGCGGGGCCCATGGCGGACCCCAACGGCTGTTCTGACGGTTGTTCTGACGGTTGTTTAGGCGTTACACGTGTATGTGCTGTACGGGCTGGGCGAGCGATCTAGACCGCCGCTGCTGCCTGTCCCTGGGGGCCGTGCAGATGGAACACAGCAGGGATCGCGTAATTTGATCATCAACAGCGGGCGAATGTACAAGTTGTACTTGTACAGTAGCAGATCAGAGATGGAAAACGCCAGGGATGGCGTATTTTGTTCATTAACAGCGGGCGAAAGTAATTACTCATGGGCACTAGCCAATTGCAGAAACAATTGCCCACATCCTTCCCGCCAGTTCTATCCGTTTAAAATTTTGACTCGTCCTGAAATGATGCACCTCGTACTCCTCCAATGCATCATCTCAACCCCCTCATCCCTTGAAGTTGGTTGCAAGCAACCAACTCGCATCCCCTTCCGTCTTTGCCCCCCAACTTCACCGCTATGAAAGTACGCCTCGAGCTCGACGTGCACCCCTCCGAAGCCCTGCGCGTCGCCTCCCTCGTCTCCGCCCTGCACAACTTCGTCACCGTGCTCTCGACCTACTCCGCAGCCCCAGACCCCTCGCCCCCCCTCGCGGCTCAACCCTCCTCTCCAAATCCCTCCTCCCCCCACTCCCCCGCCCTCTCCGAAACCACCTCCGATTCCGACAGAGATTCCCCTCCCCTCAGTCCCACCAATGCCTCCGCCTCGTCTCCACCGCCCACATCCGACTTTCCGCCATCCCCAATCCCGAGCGAGCCGCCGCGCCCACCCCCGTCTGCGGCCCCGTCCTCGTACTTTCCGTCCCCAGATGTTACCCTCTCGTCACAAGCGCTCAACAGTTTGATACCGACCCTTGGTCCGCCCGCACCGTCAGATCATTCGCACACCCCGCCCGACTCGCATCAAATCCCAGTTAAGCCCCAGCCTCAGCAACCGCCGGGAGACACGAATAAGACTTCCATATCTGTCGAGCTGCAGAACCTCATCACCGCCAGCCTCGCTGCACCGCCGTCACCCACGCAACACCAATCTGCTCGGCCCCCCTCCCCCCCACGCCGGCCTCTCTCCGTATGTAAGCGAGAAAAGCAGGCCCACAGGCACACCCAACGCTCAAGAAGATCAAAATGTGGATCACGCCCCAAAAAAATAGACGTTCTCGACCGTACTGCTGATACACCAGGGAATCGCAACTCCCACACAAGCTCCGGTATCAATGGTGAGCGCCATACGAGCGAGGAATTGGAGTCATCCAACTCATCCCGCCGCGGTCGTCGCAACAACCACGAGACAAACCTGGGCACTGTGCGTCGAAAGCCTCCCAGGACAACTCGCGCAAATGGCAACGCAGAGAATTCCAATTCGAGCTCCTCCTCCAAGTCGAAAGGACGACAACGCCCGCCGTTCACCCCCATCACGTCGCCGCGGGTAATATTCGAGGCCGTCGCGAGAGACGGGATATCCGTCAAGCATGCCGTGTCCAACCTGCAGGGCATGCTTTCACGGACGTCGAGTCCACTCTCAGAAAAGACGCTCGTCAGCGCTGCCGTTGCAGAAATGGGAACCACGGCGAGTTTGGCGCAGCACCCGCACCGCGGAATTAACATTGTTCGCGTCTTTGCCAGTCTCGGTGATGGCTATCTTGCCGCGTTCCGCAATCGCTTTGTGATAAAGGCGACAAGGCAATTTGCCAAGAAGAGGGAAGTGGGTTGTGATGTCACTGAGTTTTTGGGGTATTCGGATGGTCTTTCTGCCTTGGTCCATGAGAAATGCATTTCACCAGATGCGGCGATGAAGACCATTTCGCGGCTATTGTTGAAGGAGGGGCACTGGTCCGCCGCGATTACTACTCTGTGCAAGATGGCAGAGATGTCAAACGGCGAGTTGGCGAACAACTGCCGCGACAGAGAACAGCTCAGGAACATCAAAGGCCGGCTTGCCGATTTGGCGCAAGAGAAGCAGTTTGCATACGATATCAGTTACCTGAATAATACTTTGAATTGGTCAATACCGGTGGCAAAGGACAGTCCATAATATGCCACCGCACAGGTAGGCCGGTCGGATCAAGGGGATATGATTCTTTCGCCGCTCTGGGCGTGCAGAGTGTGCGCATGATTTATCTTCCCGATGCTCTGCCTTCAATGCAGCTCTGCTTAACTGTGACGCTGTCCTGCATGAACCCATTGAGATAGGCACACGTAAGCAGCAGTAGGCTGCCTAGTAGTTAGAAGCACGCGAATGATGCAGAGGGGGATCTGCTTGTCAAGAAGTAGTCTCCTTCGTCGAGAGTATACATGATGAATTAATCATCAGAAATTGCTGCTGTCGTGTAATGGTCTGCGATGTAGAGTGGACATGAATTAGAAACAAAATAGGATGAGCACGGTAAAGTTTATTTGTGGTCATCCACGCTACCAGAAATCATCGCAAGATTCTCTCAATTGTTACATAGCCTTTAAATGTGCCTTCAACACTCGGATTAGTAGTTTGACGTGCTTTGCATCTGAGGACATCAAGTTTCCGTTCTGCTGAAAATCGCTTAACTTTTGGATCGTTGCAACAAGCCTCCTTCTAGATGCATCTATCACCGTTGGATCATCCGGGTATTCCTCCGAGTCATCCATAAGCGTGACAATCTCGTAAAGCCAGCTGAGTCTCGCTTCTGTCCTATCCGCCAAGTCCATTGACAGCAGTGCCCCTAAACCCACCAAGCTGGCCCGCTGTGGAACTGTGCCCTCAAAGGCCTTTTCTGGACTCACATCTGTGTCTAGGACCCCACTGACCGCTTTCGCTTGGACCTTAACGGACGTTCCCTCACAACACATCAGGGCAGCCTTCACGTCCCCCTTATCCAAAGCTGCTTGCACAGCCGCAAGATCTGCGGCGTCATCGTCCACCTTGAAATCCACCGTAGAGGCAACACCTTTTGCTTCTCTCATAGCATCCGCAGCAACTTCTAGAGCAGTGACCACGCAGCTGGACGGAACGACAAGTTTCTCTTCTACTTGCGAATCGACCGCACCAGATATTCCAGCTAACATGCTTGCAACTGCCTTTTCAAACTCGGGTAGCACTCTCTTCTCAAATGCACTCGCAAATGAGGCTCGCATTGCGGCGATGGACTCCTCATCCATTTGTTTGATGTTTCTGCCTCTACTCTCAAATCCAGCCGCCGTCTGCCCCGCGACAAGCTTAGCAAAAGAGGACACGAGAGCATCAGTCTCCCTCTTCGCGGCTGTCGATACGGCACGTTCCAGCGTATCATTAAGAACGGCAGATATGGCGCGGAGGAGAGCGTCCTGACGCGCACGATACAACGTCTCCAAACGATTACGCTCACGAGCAAGAGATGCCTCCAAGAGAGAAGATATTGTCGCGGAAACGCGCGCTGATGGAGTTACGGGGCCCGGTGGCGCAGGCGGCGCCGTGGGTCGCTTCAAAATCTTGACCTGCTTCATGCTGAGGTCAGCCTCGAAGTGAGTTGAATCTGCTCTCGGTCAAAATCAGGATGGTGTGTCGTACAATACCGAGGCTCGAGTAGCATTCGCTGCCTTGCGACACTTTCGTTCGAAGATGTAATCGTGACGTCGAGTAAAGATTCCCCTCGAACGGAAAGTATCAAATGTCTTTACGAAATGGTACGACGTCGGGTTGATGCGTAGATCCCAAAGTTTGCAACGCTTTTCCTTGATGAAAAAACGGTGATTGCGAACTGTGAAGAGAGAGATAATGAACTGGTAAGCAGACTGGCGAGCCAGCAGGAGCTACATTATTGCCGTGTATTGCCACTGATAACGGAAATTTCAAGTGGGAAGAAATTACTCCGTAAAAATTTAACCTCCAGCCATCATTTACTGTACGTACCTCCCCCTCCCAGGACGCACTGTGGGGATGGATGGAGGGCGATATCGTACATACCGTATTTCACCGGTCGGTGGCGTAACATGTCTCCGAAAGAGCAACACTGCTACTTGACTCTGGTCACTACTTAAGTGTTGGCCTCAGGCACCGCTGGCATTCATGACATAAATCAATGTCATGAAGGACACACATGACTTGGCGAAGCGATTCTCACAGTTATCACGAGCTCTCTTCCCGTGGGTAACCATAGATATATTTTGCTGCTATAACAGTCGCGCCAGCCACCGACCGGGCACTATCTGCGCTTGCTATTTCTCTTATACATAAACGCCCAAACTGCACATCAAAACTTTCTTGCTATCACAGCCAGAGGAAAGGCAAAAAATGTGCGATCATTGCCTCCACGAACCCCACTCTACCAACTACCATGTACTCTACATTCAATTCAACATAGTCTGAATAAATGGCATGTTTTCTGGAAATACCGGCTTTGGCAACATTCTCGCGATTGTTTGCAAATCATCGCTTTCAGTAGATGGAATCGGACGGATTGAAGCACGGCCGTGCTTCTTCGCAGTCGAGCGCCTGCTGACAGTAACCTTGCTCTGTATCGCAGGGGACGATGCATCCTCTTCGCTCGACTTCTCGACTTCATCTCCCTCACGTCCGAAGGGCTTGATGAAGGGAACTTGGTCCGTATCAATATTCCCAACACTGTCAAATGCGCTTACCGTGGGCTTGAGCTCAAGTGCGTCGATCCACATGCCACCGGCCGCATAGTCGCCTGGTAGGGGCTTGCCAACCACCAATCTCTCGTCGACTTGCTTCGAAGTTACAACGAATCGTTCGTACACAAGCTGTGCCCGTTTTGCCGAACCGTACTCTCTCTCCAAATCCTCATACAGCCGCCATGTCGCTTTTGCGCTTGGTTGCAAACGAATACATGTCTCAAAGTATTCCCTTGCCTGCATCATATTGCCCTCCATAGCCTCCACGGTGGCCAACCCTTCTAAGAGGGGAACAGACTTCGAATCAACCTCCAACCCGTGCGCAAAGTACCTCCTCGCAACCCTGCAGTTCCCTTCCTCCAGCTCGAGCGACGCCCACGCATGCCATGTCTTGACGACATGCTTAGACTCCGGGGCCGCCCACACAGCCTCTTGATACAGCTCTCTTGCCCGTTCAAAAAGCCCAAGCGCGGATTCCACACGCGCCCACGCATGCCACGTTGGGCCGTGTTTGTCGTCGATGCGTAACGCGGCTTTAAACTGCGCGCGCGCCTGTTCAACCTCGCCGGACCGAAAGTGAACGAGACCGAGAGTCTGCCGAGGTGCAGGGTCATTCGGGCGCACCTCAATGGCGGTCTCCAACAACGAAATGGCCTTTCCGACGTCGCCGGAACGCTCCGCGCACACAGCATGTGATACATATGCATGAGCGTTCCTCGGGTTGGCAACATGGGCCTTCTGAAACAGCTCGAACGCGACGGCAAAATTGCCCAAACTGTCTTCGAGGGAGCCCCACAAGACGTATGTAGCAGCGTTGTTCGGGTTGGCCGCTACACCGCGTCGGAAGCACTCCCGGGCAACGGGAAACTGAAGACAGTCCTTCTCAAGGACGCCTAGAACATGCCAAACGTAGTAATTAGTGGGATCGGCTTCGATTCCATTGCGAAACATCTCCCTGGCGTGGACAACATCATTCCGAACCCTCCGGTACCACAAGCCAAGCGCCACCCAAGATGGAGTGTGCTGCGGGTTAGCCCTAACCGCGGCCTCATAAAAGCCCTTGGCGCGATCGACAAAGCCCTCTCTCTCTTCCAAAACGCCCCAGGCCTGGAGCAAGTGCGAGTTCTTCCGGGAGGAATTGACGCCACCTCGAAAAGTCTTTCTTGCGTTAGCGACGTCCCCTTCCGCAAGATGAAGCTTTGCCAAGCCGAGCCAGGCGCGGCCATCTGCAGAGTTGATGTCGACGCATCTGCGATAGAGCCTGCGGGCCCTTGCACGGGTGTTGCGACGACGTGAGGCTACGCGGGCGTGGTAATTGAGCAAGTCGAGTTGGACTGGGAGAGGAGTGAGGTGCAAGGGGTACATATCACATCCTTGCTCCGCGGCTAGGATGCTAGACTGGACCTTACGGGAAAGGGCTTCGGAGGCGGAAGGCTTTGCAGAGGGATCCGGCGGTGAGACGGCGCATGATGGGAGGGTGCGGCGGGGGTGGGAGAGAAGTGCGGAACGAGGGCGCTTGAGCGGAAGGGGGCAGGCGCAGAAGGCGATGGAGGGCGGCATTGTGGGCGTCGTGGATGGGAGGGAGGGGTGGAGGCGGGCGTGTATGGTAAAGGGCGGTTGGGGGGAGTCGGGGTGGCGGACAGGTAGGGACAGGCGGCGGAACGAGCGGGGGAGCTCAGGCGCCGATGCATTCGGTTGGATAGGACAGTGTTCGGTCAGGTGATCCGCAAATCGATGTGCAGTGGTAGCCAACCACAGTAAGGTTTGAATGGCAGGGGGTCGCCCTCGCTGCATATTTGCAAAATATCTCTTCTGGTGTGACACCACGTGGACACGTTGACACGGACGCGTTTTGAAGCGAGATTATCATAACAGTGAGATCCAGATCCTATTTTGAGACAGCTTGTCTCTATGGGGTGATTGCGGCACACTTGCACCCAGTAGAGCCAAACCGCGAGTGATGATGAAATGCGCAAAAACAAATAAAAATAATAGTATCTGTCAGTAGATGCGCACGTACAGTAGAAAACCAGTTCGCGCGCACCAAATTCATATCTACACAGTAAAATCGTAATTCACTAGGAAATGCGCAGTACAGTACCTTTACCGCATTTATTGATTAAAATCAAAGAGAACACAATACATTACCCGTACAGTACTCTAAAACAAACCACGTAAATGGAAGGAGATGCGCACGTAACACCTCCCTACTCCGTGTCACTGTCATCAAACAGTGCACGACGCGTGCCACTAGACATGCGAACGCGGCGATTTTCTGTGTTTTCAACGTGTACACGGCGCCTCTTTCGCATCTGACTGGCTGATATGGCCCGTAGGCGATTACGTACACCAGTGCTGTGCTGCCCGTCCTCGAAGCGGAGAGGGCGGGCCCTGACACTCAGATTGGTCAACGCCAGGCACGCTTTGAACACGTGCTCGTACAATCCCTCTCCCCAGCGCCACTTATGAGAAAGTACGGTCCATAAACTGCACATTCTCCCAAAGTAGTTTTCTACTATGACACGATCAGAAGACACTTCGCGATTGTAGTCCACGTCGTCCAATGACAGCGTTGAACGTGCCGGGGTTCGCACCGGGTGCACCACACGTAGATCATCGGCTGCACCTTGATATCCTTTATCCCTTGTCCGCCAGTATGGCCCAGTAGTCATCCATAAAGTCGCTCAATCGTTCCTCATCCGTAAACCGCAAATCACGTACCCCCTTTTTAGATGCCTCCTCATGAAAGGGTCTATTACGACGAAATATCTCCAGATCCGACACGGAGCCCGGATAGTGCTCCGTGCACCCAATAGCAAGACCAGTAGGCAGTGCCGAAACTTCCACTTTGTACCCATACAGATTATGCTTACCGGAGAAGTATCGCTTCCCTTCTGATATATTTCCACTTGGACGATTGCTCTGCTGAAAAGTGACGTCGACAGCATATCCCGCGTATTCAAAATTCGAAAACACCCGGTCCTCCAGACGACACTTGGCCATTGTCCATTTTTCCTCGACGCGTGCTACACATATATCATACATGTATTCTGATATCATACGTAGAAATCCAGTTATTAAACGTTCGAAAGTAGAACATTTAACAGAAAATAGACGAGCTATAAAGTTTCATTGCTGACCATGCTTGATTACAGTAAGTGTCATGAAGAGAACATCCTGGGCCTTGTACTGTGTTCTTTTACCTCTGCCAACATTCCAATTCTTTGACACGTAGTCTTCAATCATAACCCATAGTTCGAAGAATTGAGAGGAATCAAAATTATACATTGCCTTAATAGATTGAGAACCTCCGTCATTATAAAACGTGTCATAAATCGGACAATTGGAGTCGTTCTCATCATCGCTGGCGACCACGTCGTCATCAATGTGATCGACGATCTCATTGACGTGTCGGTTGGAGATGTCCGAAAGAGCCTGAACAGCGCGGGAGGGATTCATTTTTGAAATAGTAAATAGAGTAGGAGAAATGAGGAGCAGCTGCAAGAAGTGGGTTTTCTATATCAACTGCGCAGTTTTTCCATTTTATAGTGTTTAGTTTGAGTAGACTGAAACTGCGAGGCATATCTCACAAAAAGGTGGGCTTTCCCGTTTTTGAAAGTTGACTCGCAATTGTAGATATGATGCACAACTTATGCTATAATCTGCGTTGCTGTATTATTTGCACACTTAGTTTATTTTTCTACTGATATTCCCCAAACTCAAAGTGCTTTCACGCAACTGCAATACTTGAGGTACTGTACGTAGTTACCCTAGTGCACACGTACTGTACGAAGTACGTATGCACAGATACTGTCTCGAAAGCTTTCACTGCGCATAAGAGTAAAGAAACAGGTACTTTGAGTTGATGCATACCATTCTAGGTTAGGTAGGGGTACGCGATTCAACTGCTGAAGTACACGAGGACACACTACTGTACTGTACCCTTGGGTACTCCAGTTTTGTGGGATTTGCATCTGATTTTCTCAACAGTCTCTCTCTATCCTGCCTGTGGGCACTGCCGAGAGAAATCAAGTCCACACGGGGATGCGACTCGGCTTTCCCGTCAGACAAGGAAGGCGCACATGCACGTTACAATATATCACCGGGGCAAATGCTATCAGCTGCTTCCAAGACCGACTATTTGCAAAATGACTGCATCATTTCAGATTCTGCAGATTGCTTTCTTGAGCCGCAGCTATCTGACCAGCAATGTAGCACTCCCTCATTTTATTTGGTAAATTCGGTGTTGAAAATGTTTTGAGAACGCAGTAAACATATCCTGAAGTCATTAATCAAGTACTTCTACCATCCTCGGTATCGGGATGAACTTGTGCGCGAAACTGCATGTCCATCCTGCGTCTACGCTTCTGTCTGTATCGCTCAAGCGTGCTTCTGCGCCGCTCAGCTTGTGATGCATCGATTTCGTAGGTGCGGTTCCGCATTCTGTGGAACCGATCGAAATCATCTCGCCGAAGCGGATGCCAGCGAATGTGGATGTTAGTTAGCGCGAGACATATTCGAAAGAACTTGTCATAGTTGTCCTCTGACCAACGCCACTTCCTCTCCAGCACTGACCACAATCCGCATGCTCTTCCAAAAGCATTCTGAACTATTATACGGTCGGCGAAAATTTTGCGATTGTATCGCTTTTCTGTTGGCAAAAGCCGCTGATTAGAGAGCTTCTTGATGGGATGAATCACACGTAGAAATTCAGCACCACCTTGGTAGCCCTTATCGGCAAGTAAACCCCAGTGGTTGTGGAATTCCACAGAAAGAAGACGCAAGTCGTTATGATGGCGCTCTTCGCGATGATTGAGAAGAAACTTTCTATGAACGTTAAGCTTCGTCGCAAAATTTCGAAATCTGATGATGAGCCCAGATAGTGCTTGCTGCAGCACACAGTAAGACCATTGGGTAAAATGTAGTGCACTGTACTCGGTACCCGGACAGCTGTCCTAATCTCGGCAAAATCGCGCTCGCCGCCCCCACGTGTACAACGGGTACACGTGAACTCCCCTGCCGCTGTACCGAACCTCCCCGTGGACACGTGTAATCCCTCCGCAACCCATAGGGCCTATGGGGGCTGTACTTGGTCCATTCGGGGCTACACCTGACATTTCCTAGTTATTTCTAATTTACAATATAATTTAGATTCGCCATTACGGCGACAGGGGACTGTATAGTCAACCCGATAATCAAAGTAAAATGGCACGAAGCCTCGGGTCTTTTACCTCGGTTTCTGGATTCCAGGTTGTAGCCTCGTCTCGGTACTGGCTCGCCCATACCGACCGAGCCATCTACACCCCTGGAATCCCAACTACCTGCCCCGCGCGCGTCGAACCAACTGCGCGAGCGCTACGTTAAGTACGGTTCTGTCTGTTCTGTTAGTCTGTTTCTCCTTTGATTCTTCCTCTTTATTGCTGATTCTAGTCCTACCTTTCTACCGCGCAAGCCGTGCCCGGATCCCGGTTCCAGTCATCCACCGGGTGGTCTCCTGAATTCCCGTACGCGTACGAACGCTCTTCGTTCTGCCTACAGCCGCCACACGTGGCTGTAGTGCACGACATAAAACGCAAACTTCCACTTTATATCCGTAGAGTTTATGTTTACCGCTGAAATACTTCTTACCCTCTTGTATATTTCCACTGGGTCGGAAGGCCATCTGAAAGGTGACGTCCGTCGCGTATCGAGCTCTCCTGAAAGACGAAAAAAGCTGTTCATTTTGAATCAGCTGAGCCACCCGAAAATCGGACTTCACACCGGACTCTTCATTCTTGCATAAAACTTCGGAAACACAAAGGACAAACCCCACGATTAACCTCTCAATTGTTGGTCCCTTCATCCTGAACGTTCGAGCCATGAAATCCCAACGCACGCCATGTTTTAGGGCACATAATGTCATAAAAATACGTCTCGAGGCTTGACAGACGACCTCCTTCCTATCTCACGTGTGTACTTGTCAATCACAAACTCCCTTATAGAATCCGAGATTTCAAGGAGCTCGTCTGGGGTAAAGTTTTTCATCAAGATTATTCCGGCAGAGCCACCCCAATCATAGAATTGATCAAAAATCGGTGTGTCGAAATCGTTATCTTCATCTGTGTCGGAGTTCTCGGCCTCGGAAGAATACTTTCTGATCTCGTGCTCACGCTCCACTGCAGCGTCGGCCGGCAACTGCGGCGCTGCTGTGGCATCATCGCCCGAAATGGGCTGCATAGCGTACGCGAAAGAAAAGGGTGTGGGGAATTCGTGAAAGTCACGAGTGTGTGAGGACAGTTTGACAGGGATGAGGGACAGGGATTTGGCTGATATGTGTTGAGGGGACCGCGTTTTAACAACTGCCGAATGACTGCATGATATCAAAAATGAGCGGGGGTTTTCCGATAGCAGACATTTTCAAAAAATATGCAACAATCTCCGCGTTTGACCACGTATGTACTGTTGAGTGAGGTGTAAATTTTTAATGTGTTTGGCATTTGCAACAGTCGCGTATGTTCCTATGTGCATAGTCCAATAAGCAAGCGCCTCTTTGATTACAGTTTGCCTTGGGTGTTTTAGAGTGCCCCCAGCTATGTTCTTGAAAGGTCTAATGTGCAAAATCATAGAGTGGAGAGTTGAGAGGATTCTGGGCGCACAAGCTTCATCTTGTCCCGTAGGCACTACAGTACCCTTCCAAGGGTACAGTGTACCAAGAGGCAGATGAGATAGCATTCGCAACAATAGTCATTGAATAAAGCATACAAAAAGAGGCAGCGCTCAGGGCCTGGGCAACTGGGTGTGCCTCTCAGGCTTCT